TTGGGGGCCCTCAGGGGCCATCTTGGACCGCCCCCTCGTCCTCTAGGAGCATTTCACTTGCCCTTCTCTGCCTCCACCAAGCCTCCAAAACTCCCCACGTGTCCAAAAACGTGGATGGCGGTGCCTGCCCCCCTCAGGGGCGTTCAATTGAATTGAACGAATTCGTTTGCAGTTCGCAACTAAAAACGTTTATCTAGATTTCACTGCGGGTGTGGGGCTAGTTCGACCTCCGATATGGGCGTGATCTGGTACACCGCGTTCTTAGCCTGGGTGGCGATCAGACAACCTTATCTAAATCTCGCAGGTCGGCACGCGTAAGTGTTTCCAACTGAACTTCAGCGTGGTTGGGCTCTGTAGGTGGAACAAGGCGGCATCGAACGTGTCCCTCGCAACACTCATGGCACGATAAAGGGTACACGAGCCCCGTGCCATCTACGCCGCGAATGCGCATATTTGTGGGACTCACGCGTGTTCAATGTCACGTCTGGCTCTGGAACCCGCTGAACAAGGTAAAAACGGCCTCACCTATCCGTTTGCCCTCCTCTTTCCCATCGTCACACTTCCTCTCTCTCTTATTCCTCCTGCGTAGCTTCCTTCTTCACCGTCTCCTATGATTGTCCTCCCTTCCGTGTTCTCCCTCACCCGCTTCTCCTAATTGTTTCTCTCCACCCCCTGTTCCGCCTCTTCCTTCACCATCCTCTCCCTGTCCTGCTCGTTCTCTTCCTCCTTAGCGTTTCTCCATGCTTGCTCGTTCCTATATTTCCCATCCTCCTTCCCACCTCCCTCCTCCCTCTCCTCCTCTTCCACCCTCCTCCTTCTGCTCATTCTTCCCTCCTCCTCCTACTCCTCCTCCTCTTCCTTCTCTTCCTCCTCTTCCTGCCCCTCCTCCTACATCATCTTTCTTCCTTCCCCTCCTTCTCCTTCTCTTCCACCCCTTCCCCCATCTGTCCTCATGCTGCAACCCTCCTTCATCCCTCATACTTCTCCTCCCCCTCCTCGCCCCCTACGCTCCTCCTCCTCCTCCTCCTCCTCCTCCTTGCCCTCCTGTTGCGCCCATTCAATGAACTGACAGTCGCGTGATCGTTCTCCTGCTCCACCTTCATCTTGCGCCCATTCAATGAACTGACATTCGCGTGATCGTTCTCCTGCTCCACCTTCATCTCAATCTCCCTCCTCCATGCTCCCTTGTTCTTCATCCTTCCTCCCTCCTCCTCCTCCTCCTCCTCCCCCTCCTCCTCCTCCTCCTTCTCCTCCTCCTGCTCCTCCTCCTCCTCCTCCTCCTCCCACTGCCACCATCACTCCCTGACCTCCTCCATCCTCCTGCCTCAGCTGAAGTCAACTGGAGACGAAAATCAGCCCCTGGAGCTCTGCTGGGAAACACTTGAACGGAAACCTCGGAGGGGGACTCCAGCCGTGGTGTTAAGAAACGCCTGCCATGGACCCAAAACCGAGCGGAAAGATCCCCGAGCCTCGTGCTGTGGCTCAATGCGGGGCTCGAAAACCGAAGGCGGGAGCGCGCGGAGCCGGAGCGGCTGGCAGGCTCGGGGCCCCGCGTGTCCGAGGCCATGGACGATGACCTGGCAGCATGGCGACGAGGCCACCGGTCGGCAGCGGCGGCGTTGACGCCACGCCGAAGGCGGCGGCGGCGGCGACCCCGGGAGTCTGGCGCGTCACGGCATGATCGAGGCAGCAAGTTCTCCCAAAGTGTGGGCCTTGTGCCAAGCCCGACGAGGCCGACAACAGTCCTGAGGGAAGGGGTCGGGATATCCGGTTGCCCCGTTTTGGAAAAAACGCAACATCAGAGGTCTGGGGACGGCGACAACATGGCGGCAACGACGACGACGCAACGACGACGCAACGGCGACGGCGACGGCGACGGCGACGGCGACGAAAGGAAGAGGAAAATGTCTCGCTCGCGCGTTTCGCCTGCCTTCCCGCGGGCCCGCGTCGCCACGCGAGGATCAGCCTCGAGTCCATTATCGGAAAGCGCTCCAGGACAGGGCCACGCGAAGATGAAGACGATCCCGACGCCACGGCGACAACGATGACGACCCCGTGGACGACCCTGGCAGGACATGGATGACGACGCCGACGACGACTGAACTGAACTCCCAACTACGGCAAGCCTCGCCAGGAGAGCCCAGACCAACCGGACTTACACCGCGGGCAAATCCCCAAACCGATGCAAAGACCCGCGACGACAGCGACGACAACACCATGGACAATGACGACGACTCTACGGTGTCGATCGATGCGGACGGTGACTTGTGGGTGTGGAGCGGATGCGGGATTTGATGTGGGGACGCCAGGTGGTGAAGTGGGAGGGAGGGGTGAGAAGAGATCCGCAGGGTTCCTTCCTGAGCCCGGTGGGCGTCTGAGCCCGTTCGGCCGTCGCATGGGCAATCGAAGGGACACAGTCCCAAGGAACTGGCTGGCATTGAGACCGACCGGAGGCCGAATGGGATCGATCCTGGTCCACTTTGGCGGCCAAATAGGCTCAGACGCCGAATATTCGTTGCAGGGGGCCCTGGGGAAGGGAACGGGTGAGGGGACTGCGAAATGGGGGAGGCCACGGGGGGGCAGAGGAAGGCAGGCGAGGATGGAGAGATAGATGGTGAGAATGATGGCTGGACTGGCCTCCCCCTCCCGGTGGTGCTGTCGCCTCCTCCTCCCCCTGCTCCTCCGCTTCCAACTCCCTCCTCCTTCTCCTCCTTCTCCATTCCTTTTCCTTAGAAATAACTTCTCCCTGTCGCACGCCGAAACCAGTTGTTAAGGCGGGCCGGGCGTGTCGCATGAGACTTCCTCACAATTTGTATTCCTGAAGCTTGAAATTGACAACGGGTTCACAGATTGAGGGCGACCCCTTTTCAAAATGTGGCTCTCGCCTCATCGCAGCGCACATTCGTTTTGAGCATGTGCAAGAGTTTGACGGATTGAGGGCGACCCCTTTTCAAAGTATGGGTATCGCCTTAGCGCCGCGCGCATTCGTTTGAAAACAACATTGCAACGAGGTTTACGGATTGAAGGCGGTTCCTTTTCAGAATGTGGCTCTCGGCTTCGCGCCGCGCAATCGTTTCTTAATTCTTGCAAAAGTTTCACCGGTTCCCATGATCAGCGTAACAGAAATGTGTTTTGTAAGGATTAAGGGTTATGAGGGCGCGACAGTTACATTGATTCGCGGATTTGAAATCCCAGGGATGGAGTTCTGACACGATTCCGGATAATCAGGACGCAACAATCAGGCTAACCTGTGGCGTTGAGATCCCGAGTAAGCGTGCTTTGGCATGCTGCAAGGTCTTCAAACGGTTGCCTTCTAACGAGGTAGTCCCTCTCTAGTGGAAATGAGACGTTGCAGGGGCCTGTGAAGAGGGAGCTTGGAGGGAGGGTTTATTCCAACATCGTTGATGGCTCTTGGGTTCACACTGGTCCTCCTCCTCCTCCTCCTCTTCCTCCTCTTCCCTCTCCCACTCCTGGTCTCAGGGATCTGGGGGTGGGGGCGGGACCATCAGTATCTTGGTGCGGGAAGCCTTGAGATCGCCTAGGTGTTAATGGGATATCGCTTCTGACGGTTTCCCGCAATCGCCCACCCTACAGATTTGCCACCTCCACGCCCGCTCCCGACCTCCTCCCCTCCTCGCGGACCTGGCTCGCAAAATCGTTCAAATACTGGAAGCCTCAAACGCGCCTGGCTACACGGGAAGGACTGGTTCCCAAGGTGTCCCGCAATGTGTATGAGCGGCCAGGGACGCCCTTCAACTCTGGAGGACCCCAAGGGTTCAAGGACATCCAAGGGCCTCGATCCTCGCCAAGCGTCTTGCCTTCTAACACGCTATCTTGATGCTGTCTCTCTGCTTGTTCCGTGGTTTCGCCATGATCGCAGGCGGCGTGTTTGAACCGAATCAGTTGAGAAGCACGTTGGTACTACATGTGCGTTAGACGATTGGCGGGCCGCCTTCCGCTGACCCCGTTGCTTACATAAGGAACATACAAGATGGCATGATCACACTGTTGTCGCCCCAGCTGCGCTCAAGGTTACACGGCGGTCGTAAGAACCAGGTAAACACTTGACGTAGGAATGCGGGTAACGTTGTTTTGGGTCTTGGCCCTCCCAGAGAGCAACCAAACACAGCAACAGCGCATCGATTCTTGAAGTAGGAAAACGCTTGAAGTAGATCTGGACCCAGGAATCCAACACAACCTGGTTTCTGCGACAAGCGTGTACTCCAAGATGCGGGCTGCACTCCTCCTGGCTCACTCCTGTGTGAGCCGACCTAGCATTGGGCGCAATCCCGCCCTGATACAGCCAATGGTTTACGAGTCACGTGACGACGGCTGCCACTTCACAAAGAACTCGACCCGCCGAAACGTTGCGAGATACTGTAGGTTCGCACGGCGTCGGCACGCGCAAAAGTTTTCGACACCGAGTCGATCGGTCAACCTTGAATCGATCGCGGCCCCGATCGCCCAACATTCAATTCTGTCGGGTCCAATGGCGTCACCGTGTCCGTCGGTGCTTCCGGGTCGAAGAATTCAACCTTGAACACCTTCGCGGGCGTCGCCAGCCTACCAACGCCGCATGGACCTACGGTATCCAATATTGGCCTGAAGGAAACGGGTCTGGAGGAAAGTGGGTCCTGCATCCCAATGCCTTTTGACGTCCCTGGGGCCTGGGAAAGGCCCCTGGGAAGCCGAAAGCGGTCAAAAACGTCCTGGACCCTTTTCAATATGAGCCCCCTTGTCCCATGGCATGGCGACAATACCTCGCCCAGAAAAAGCCCAAGGCCACTGACGTGGGACGCACAAGGACGTACTAGAACTACGTGTTCTCATTGGAGGCGCGCGCCCGACCCGAACATGTAGTATAACCATATTGTAGTATACCGTTTCCCTAAGTGTATGAACAGAAAGCGCCCGCCACGGAGCCTGTACCATACGATTCCTTGGCGCGCGCGTCGCCCCTGGGGGTGCGGCGCACACATAGTAGTAACATGTTGGGGTGACGCCGATGACGGCCCACTCATGGTGGGGAAGGGGGAGGAGGTCAAGTGCTCCCAGTGGCGGCGCAAGTGTCCGCATCGTCCTCACGCCACATGTGGGAGAAACCGCCAGGCGTAGCTGCAGCAGACGGAGGCGGGAATCCTACCAGACGGCCTGGCGAGGGCGAGAGCTGGCCCGCTCCAACCAGCCTCGAACTTCTCCCCACCCCCAAGATCGGAACGCCCAGGGTGATCACAATCCCAGGGATGTGCCCCCAGATGCTGAGGGAGTCCTTGAGGTCGGCACCGCGGCAAGGCGATGCCAAACACAAGGATCGAGACAAACTTCCAGCCGGTACCGCTCACAAGCTGGCATCCCTGGGAGGGCCACCCTGTTTGTGCGGAGGCTGCCGCCGCCCTTCCGCCGCCAGGAGCCGCCCTCGCTCTGCCTCCACAGGGCTCCCGTCGAGGGCGCGGTGCGGGCTGTCTTGGGCGTCGCCAAGTGGGGGGGTCATCCATTGGGGGGGGGGGGGGATGCGAGAAGCGCACGCCTCGGGCCCCCGGGGCCCTCTTTCGGGCCCTCACGGGCCCCTCTGCAGGGGCCCCTTCTCTGACGCCCCTGCGGCCCCCCCCACGACGCGAGGCCCGAGTGTCAGCGCCACGCTCCCTCCGGCGAGAGGCCTCCCACGAGCTGGCCAGCGGGCGCCCTCGAGGGGGCCGCACCGCCCCGAGCTCGCGCCTGCCTCCGCGCACGGCGCCCGCGCGCGGCAGCCCGCTGCCCGACGGGGCGCCGCCAGCGCGCGGCGACGAGCCCGCGCGGGCCTGCCGCGTGCCGCCCAGCTGGCCAGACTCTGGCCGAGCCGAGCCCGCAGGCATCGCGCCGGCCCCCACCCCATGCTGCCAGCGGTGTGCGAGGGCTACTGGGTGATCGAGCGCGCACCAGGGGGGGGGGGCGTGGCGAGGTGGGCGTCCTTCTGAGAAGGCAGGGAGCCTCTCAGGAGGGATCGGCCTCCTCTTTCCGAGGCTCCTCCGACAGCTGCGTCCAAGGCTGGCGCTCCCCCCAGAGCCCCCCCCCTCCGAGATCATCCAGAGCGCCCCCAGAGAGCTGCGAGATGTGGACGAGGCGCATAACAAGGATGCAAGATGTGGATGACAGGGCCCTGGAAGACCGTGTCGACACCTTTCGAGAGGGGCGCGGCCAGTGAAATTGACAGAGGAAGAACCAAGGGAGAAGGGTGCAAGGGTAATCTTGGAAAGCCCAATCCGTCCTATGCGACCTGACTGTGCTCCCTAGAGGCCCACAGCTGGCCGCGACTGCGAACACCGCCGCGCGCTTCGTCGGCGCACGGGGTGCTCGGGAACTCCTCGGCTCCCGGCGGAGGGGAGCAAAACTCGCACACGCCTAGTCACTCGGCCGCCCTCCGCGCCGGAGGCATCCATCGGCGCTGGCCCCCTCCGTGGCGCCGCATGCACGCTTGCACGACCGCCCCCCCCGAGGCGCTCCCAGCGCGAGGAAACGCGGCTGCCGATTCAAACGAGCAGTTCAAAACTCGCCGAGCGTCGTTACGTGGCGCCAGCCGAGCCCTACCCCACCAACCATCGATTCTCCTGCATCGGCTGGAGGCGGAGGGAAGGCTCGGATGTCACCACATGTTCGACGAATTCCGAATCCGACCCCCGCCGCCCATCGAATGGCCTGAATCGTTGGTCGGCGACGGTAGGGCTCGGATTTTGCCGCATATTCGTGGCGCTCTGGCGCCCGCGAGGAACACTTGCACGTGTTGCGGCTTGCAACCGTCAGACTCCCACATGCACACCCGATTCCGCTACAGAGAGAATCGAGATAGCAGTGTCACTGAAGCTGATGCATGATGACTGGACTGATCCGTGCTGGCTGCATGGCCACAAGGATGACACAGGCAGGTGTGAAACACGGATCCGTTAGGTCACAGCCCTAGCAGCAATGCGTTAGATGCTGCGTGCCAAAACTGGCCACTAGCGGGGCTGCAGCCTTTCCCAGACAGGTCGAGAGGCTAATTAGAGAGGGTGTTGAAATGTCATGTGAGGGAAAGGGAAGCAGGTGTGCAAGTGAGGGGGAGGGAGAGAACGAGAGAGAGAGAGGGGGCGACAGGGAGAGAAGCATACATTCCAAAAGGGGGGGAGGGAGAGAGAGAGAGGCAGAGAGAGATTAACCAAATAATAAGTACATAAAGAAAGAGAAGGGCGCATAGTGGCACTTATGCGCAAGTGTCAGCAAAGGTACTGAAACCGCTCTCGGGCGGGCAAGTGAGTTCCTCTCGTCCGGTGCGAGTATCCTGCTGCATGTGTCCTCTACAACGCCCCTTGCCGACGAGAGGACCCTCGTGTCCGCCCTGGCTCAAGTGCAAAGACTCCCTCCTACGCCCGTCCTCCACTTGCGTCAATTACGTAAGTTCTCGCAGTCATCACGCTGCAATGAATTAGCCCGCTCGTCCGGTGCATCGGTTCCCGCGGAAGCCTTTTGGCGCGCACAGGATCAGGCTCCCCAGGTTGAGCAAGGAGGAGCAAGCCGAACATCGAAACACTCCGTACGCGGGGAACGCAGCTGCCGATTCAAACGAGCAGCTGGGAACTCGACGTTCTTGGCGCTTTTGCGCTTGCGAAGAGCACTTGCACGTGTCGCGGCTTGCAGTCCTCAACCCCGCGTATGCGCATATGCGTCGGATCCACAACAGTGGGAGCGAAAGAGGAGGGCTACTGGGGCCAATTAGTGATATCCAGCGCGATCCATGCGGGCTGCGGGGCCACGGGAATGCCAGAGACCGATGCAAAGAACGAGCCATTGAAACATGGCATTCAACCCGAGCAGCAATGTCGCACTTGTTGTGTGCCGTTGCTCGTTTCGAGCGAGGCTGCATCGGTGGACAGACGAACCAAGCTGACCATCGACAGAGGGTGATTATGTGCTGGCATGGGGTAAGTAAGGGTGGGGGACCAGACGCCTGGGGGCGCTTATGCGCCGTCGCTGACAAAAGCACTGAAAACGTTCTCAGACAGACAGTTGAGCTCCTCTCGTCCAAGGCATGCCACTCACTGCCATCCCTTGCCAACAAGAGGACCCACCCGTCCGCTCAGGCTCCGGTGCAAACACGCCCTCCTACGCCGGTCCTTCACTTGCGTCAATTACGTTGTGAATTCTTGCACATCTCACACGTTCATCTGGTCCATGGGGTGCTGCGGTGGCCTGTTTATGCCAACATGGCTCCCTCGGGCTCAGACGGCTCCGTCGGCCGAGCCAGCACCAGGCGCCCACCCAGGGAAGCTGGTCCAGGCACGCGGCCCAGCTCTGTGCTGCTGCGGGTGCTGTTGCGGACTCTGCTGGCCCACAGCCCCCTGAGGTTGGCTGTGGCGGCCGATCTGGACCTTCAGAGGTGGGTCCTGCTGGTGGTCCAACCCCGCCGGCGACAACCGCGGGGGTGGGGCCGCATCTCTCCTGGGGCTGGGGCTTGGCTTCACCTTTGCAGCGCCGGCCGCCTCCTGGCAGGCAGTGCTGTGCCTTCCCTGCGGCCACCCGACCTCGCTCGGCCTCGCTCCGTCTGGGGAGGCCCACAGGACGCCGCTGCGGCCCCCCTGGGGAAACGAAGAAGAGTCCATACTGCTATTCCCCAGACCTCGCCCCCGGTGCGTTCTGCCTAGAATTTCGCGGAGAACCTGGCCGTGGCTAAGACAGATCTCCAAGACGAGCAATGGTACAGTCAACCCGTATAATAAGCATGCGCGGTAAGGATGCAAGGGCCTTGAACGCCCATGCCGAGGCTCTTCGAGCGGACTGGCCATCAAAGGTGGTTTAGGATGGGCCGAAGATGACCGAAGAGGCAAGGATGCCAGGCTACCCTTGGGGAGTCGGTAATCCCCACTATGCGGGTCGACTGTACCGGTTCCTCTTCATCCCCTGTTCATCCCCTGACCCCCGGGTCTGGCGTCAGCGCCACTCTCATCGGGGAGCCCGAGCGCGCTGGCGCCGCCCTTGCGGGCGTCCATGGCGCTGGCGCCGAGCCCGCCGCGGGGCTGTGGGGCTGCAGCGGCCACGAACTGGGCGGGGGCGCGCCCGGCGCGCCTGCCGCGTAGGAGGGAGGGGGAGCGGTCATGGCCGGGGGGCCGCAGGATGTGCTGGATCGGGGAGACGTGAGGCTCGGGCGCGGGGGAGTCGGGTTGGCCTGACGGGGCCCTCACGAAAATGACGGGACCCCAAAACTGAAATCTGACGCGAGCTCCCGCTGCAGACATCCCACATAATCTGGACCGTGAAGATCCAGGACGCGCTCGTCAAAAAAAGCGTCGGCGAACCCGAACTCCCACGTACTCGAGTCTTACGTTTCCCCGGCTGGAGGCGAAGGAGGAGGGGGCGGAGGAGGAGGCGGACGAGGAACGACGAGGAGGTGGAGGAGGGGGAGGAGGAAGAAGAAGAGGGGGAAGATGAGGCGGAAGAGGAGGCTGGCTGGCTGGCTGGCGTCCCTCCAGCTGGGGCGGCACGCGGAGACCTCGGGCGTGGTCCCCTTTCTGCAGTGGGCAGCGGGCCCAGGGGAGGATGTCGCAAGCGATCCTGCAGCGGCCAGGCGGAGGCCCTCTGCTGGAACCCTTCGAATGGTTGACAGCTAGGCGGGCGACTCGGCCTGACCCCATGGAGTGGAGCGGAGCAAGCGGGGCCGCTGACAGCGTACGGCTCAGCCCGACTCTCCAATCGCTGCACCTGTCAGCGTACGGCGAGGAGACGCAGGTACGAGACTCCTGTAGTGGAGGGGGGAGGGAGCCCCCGAACCCGAACCGGCCCAGGACCAACCAGCGCGACTGCTGGAGGCAGGGGGGCAGGAGGGAGGGCCAGAAGGGAGGCCGGGGAATCATTTTCGCCAGAAGGCCTCCGCTGTCTCATCAAGCCTTGTGGATGCCACGACAATGGACACCCTCATAGTCCGATCATTGAATTATGTTCGTAACATGTTTCAAACATGCTTCTTACATGTTTGAAACATGTTGTTTTGCATGTTTTGGACATCTGGGAACTACTTGGCAACACGCTTTATCTCCATTGATCGTCCTCCACAAAACCAGCGCGACTGCTGGAGGCAGGGGGCGGGAAGGAGGGCCAGGAGGGAGGCCGGGGAATCGGTTTCGCCAGAAGGCCTCCGCTGCCTCCTCAAGCCACTGAACCAGGTCGGAAACTGGAACATATACATTACCAGTGGCGGGTTGTTTTTTCAATCCCACGACTTTTTGAGGGTCGGGGACGACGCCGGGCTGGTGTGGTGTATACTTTTCCCCCGCTTCTCAAGGGAAACAACGAAAACTGTATATACCAGGATCCCGTATACGCCTGGATCCGCGATCCTATGCGAATTTCAGCGAGGCGTCGGAAAAAGCGTCGGTGTATGGAGTTCGTTTCGCTACCAGGGACACCGCCTGGGGGTAATCCCGGTTCTCCTGGCAGCGCGCCGAGAATGGCCTGGGCCGCGGCCTCGCGGAGGGCGGCTCGGGTAGAGGCCACGCGCGGCCCCAGAGGGCAGCGCGGCCGCCATGGTGTACGACTGCAGCTGCCGAGGACGTGGAAGAGCGGACTTAGGATTTGGCCTTGTCAGAAGACGCACACCTGCCGCCGAGCCTTCGACGGGGCCCCAGAGGCGTGGCAAAGTGTGATAGATGCCACGACAATGGACACCCTAACAGTCACATCATTGATATTAACATGTGGTTCAGATGCCAGAAAATGTTCTAAACATGTTTTAAACATGTTTTGCATATGTTTAAAGCATGTGTAACACATGTTTCCGACACCTGAAAATTATTTGGCAACATGCTTCCTCTCCATTGATCGTCCTCCACAAGACTTGGCCTTGACAGAAGACGCACACCTGCCGCCGAGCCTCCGACGGGGCCCCGGAGGCGTGGCACGGTGCCAGCAACCGGCACCGCAAGCGGGTGAGAGACCTCTGGCCCGCAAGCACTGCGCCCGGAGCTCCTGGGCCAAGGCTCGGACGAGGTCTGGCCGCGGCACCGGCCCCGACGACAGGGGGGAACAGCGCGCACCTCTGGGACGACAGGCGGGCACGGAGCAGGGACGCGCTTCGGCTCGCGAACCCAGTGCGGATGGCCTCCTTGTGCTGCAGCAGAGTGCCTTCCCCGTGGCCAGCACGCCACGCAGGCCAGTCGGGCAGGGACCAGGCGTCGAGCAGGGCGAGGGATGCACGAGCCCACGAAGGCCTGGGACCGAGAGGGCGCAGATGAAGATGCCGTCGGAAAGATCCCCCTCCCGTAGGAGCCATGGGCTCGCGTGGCGCGAGGCGATGTCCAGAATAGCACGCGCCGAGCCTGTCAGTGACCAGCCCGGCTGGGAGCACGCCTGCGCCCCGCTCCGCCACGGGGGGGGGGCCCGAGGAAGGCCCGCGCCCAGCTTTCGCACGCAGGATCCAGCTGGCCAAGGGCCCCATCTGCCGTGGCCCAGAGCCATCGATGGGGACTGCAGGCCCTCCACTTGCAGCTCGAAGATTTGCGCAGCGGGGGCGAGGGGGGGGAGAACCCTCGCGGCGACGTGGCCTGCGAGGGCGGCACACTGCGCGAGGGCCACTCCGAGCTTCACATGCAGGACGTGGCTCAGATGCAAGTCCCCTGGCCGCTCGAGCCCGAGACACTTGTGGCCTGCGGCAAAGCCGACTTGGACCACAGGGAGGTCCCTCAGCGGGAGGGAGAGCGGCAGCGATCCCCCAAGCACAACCACTGCATGTTTGGCGGCTTTCGTGTGCGGGGATGCCTTCCAGACATGCGCCCAGTCCGCGTACACCTGAAGGGAGTGTTGCGCAGCACCGCGGGAGGAAGCGAGCAGGACGGGGCCGTCGGCATGTAGGATGGCAGCGAGGCGGCGGGGAGCGGCCAGGTCCAGGGCCGCCAACGCCGACGCTTCCACGTTGACGTCCTCCGCGAGGTCTGCAGAGGGGAGGGGACCTCCTTGGCGCAGGGCACTGAGGAGAGTGGCCGTGGCCTCGGCAACGGGGATACCCGTCCCCAGCCAGACGTGCCTTGACCAGCACACCGGGGTGCGGATGCCGAGGCCCACGCCGCTGCCTCTGTGGCGCAAAGCTTCAGCCAGGGAGTCCATGTACACAGGGAAGGTGAGCGGTGCGATGGATCCCCTCTCCGCGATGCCCTCCGTGATGATGACGACTTCCACGCAGTTGAAGTTGACATGGACTGCGTCCGACGCAATCATGCTGTCGAGGAGGGAGAACACGCCTGGACCCACCCTGGTGTGCTGGAAGAGCCTCTGCAGCAGCGCTCCCCTCCAGGTCTGGGGGAAGGCTTTCGGAAGGCCCCCAAAATGACAACCCACAGAGGCCGCTTGCCGCCCACTGCTTCCGCCGCATCTCATGAAGGGCGAAGTGGGCATCGCCAACATCGCGGATGTACCCGCTCTGACCTGGGAGAACGCAGGTCCAGACCGGCTCCCGCAGCCTGCAGTGCGCAATTGCCTCCTGGAGCAGGCCGAGCTCGGCCTTCACCAGTATGAGGCGGAAGGACTCGCCGGCATCGGCAGGGCCCACCTTTTGCAGGGGGACCACGCAGCTGCCACGCCACAACGCGGGCCGCACTGCGAGGCATCCAGGACCAGCAAGGCGCTGCACCAGCCAGACATCCTCGTCTAGGGCAGAATCCCCCAGCTGAAGGGCCAGGCGTGGGACCGGGTCTGGCGTGGTGGCGGCCGTGTGCCCCATGGAGCCGAGCCATGAGGCCACCTCCGAGGCTGCGACAAGCACGTCGTGCACCCCTTGGCCCCGGGCTGCTCTCGCGCGGCCCTGGACGGACGGCAGCGCAGCAGTGACCTGATGGTGGAAGCTCGGATCCCATGGACCCGGCCAATCTGACTGCGCCCGCAGCTGTTCCACCCAAGCTCTGCGGGACTCGTCAGGCGACGACGTCTGCCCATCCGGCCCTCTGAGGCAGGATGCCGGTCGCGTCTCCCGAGGCCGCAGTAGCCGCAGGCACTTGGCTGCCCTCTCTGAAACCGAATCTGGACCTTCCAGGGCTGAGCGGACGCGACCTAGCAGTGGCCTGGACACTTCACGGGGAGCCAGCTGTAACTGCACGGACTGCGGCACCACCCAGCGGGCCAGGTGTATGAGCCAGGTCACAGCATCTGCCAGCCACTGCGTCGCTGCGGGGATCAGTGCGCGCACGGCAGCTGACTGCTCTTCCCCTTCACAGCAATGGAGGATCAGGCTGGATATTGCCCGCAAGGGGGGCTGCGCGTGCTGCAGCCCTTGCTCTCTAGGACCCGGAGTCCTGCCACCTCGGCATCCAGAGCGCACCTGCACCCAGGCCCGAAGACGTGGCCTGGAAAGGGATGTTAACGTCGAGCAAGAAGTGGTCCCCGCCTGGTGTACTCCACACACTCCTCCCACTGACAGCCCCCATCCCCTCGACAGGAGATGCCGGTGTGCTGTCGCCACCCCTAGTGCCCCTAGTGCAGGCGCGGACCCAAGGAAGACGTCGATGCAGCGGGAGCGTGCGTTCCCAGGGGCGTGATGTGTGTCGCCTGGCCTCAACAGTAGGCGTTGGCCCCTGATGGAGAGGGTGACTGTAACAGGAGGCGCCTCCCCGACAATAGGGTTGAGTGGGCGCAGGCCCCAGGTGCTCCCCAGGCCTATCCAGCCCCTCGTCCGAGCAGGCGACGGGTCCCCTGACCCCCGAGAACCTGCAGGCTGCATGTTGATGTCCGCCATGAGGATGACACGAGACGTATCTGCTAGCGATGGGACACCACAGAGTGATTGCAAGTCCGAGTGCAGCCCTGCCAATTGGAGAAACCACTCTGTGTCTGAACCGCTCCGTGGCACCGGCGGAAGGAAGCGGAGGAGGAGAAGGAGGCGGAGGAGGAGGAGGAGAAGGAAGAGTAGGAGGAGGAGGAGGAGGAGGAGGAGGAGGAGGAGGAGGGAGGTGTCGTGACCAGGGGGCGGCAGGATGTGCTGGAACATCAGCTGCGGCGACGCCTCCGCCGGGGCGGGCCCGGGCTGCTTGGCCTCCGCGGCGGGCGCGTGGACGGCGGCCTCGGACGGGCCGCGGGGCGCGGCAACGAGGCCGGGGAAGGCGGCGTTCCAGCCCTCTGGGTCGAAGAACTGGCCGACCCCGCCCGGGGCGCCCGCCGCGGGCGCGTCCTTGGAGAGCATCAAGAATCCACCCTCGGAATAAGCACCCCGACAGGCGAAGCAGTTTGGTAGACGCACCCGAGGAGAGAATCGAACAGGGCAGGGATGTTCAGTAATTGCACTGGGCAATTTAGCAAACGCCGCTGATCGGGGTTAGTGTGGCTTCGCCTCCTACGAAAAAATCACGACGGGCGATCTTGTTCGCTCCTGTCGACCTTTCGGGGCCCTCGCCAGGCCTCGGGGCCGTCCAAAGACGAGTCTGGATGAGAAATTGGTCCTGGGGAGTGGGTCGGGGCCTCTGGGGGTCGACGTCATGAAGACGTCATGACGCCAGGGGGACTGAGCACGTGCGCGTCCTCGCAAACGTGCCCGAGCTCGTGCAGGAACCCGCGCATGAAGCGCTCGTCCATCAGGATCGCCATCTCCGCGTCGCCCAGCGGGGCGTGCCGCCGCTCCTCCGTGTCGCCCTTGCCGAACTCGACGACGAAGCAGTCGGGCATCTGCGCCAACGCCGCCTCGATCTGCGCCCTCGACCAGTGCCGCACGTCCTCGCGGCTGTCCGCCGTGCACAGGCGCTTCACGGTGCGGCCCACGACGATCCCCCGCGCGTCCGCGGGGCTGCCCTCGACCACCTCGATCACCTCTGCGCCCCCGCCGCCCCCCGAGAGGTCCTGCAGGTGGAACCCGTACGGCTCCTCGTGCCTGTTCGGGCGTTGCCAGAAGTGTCTCTGGCCCAGGGACTAGAAAAATGGATGCACGAAGTGAATCTGAAGGTCGACCATTTCGGGTAGACGGAGTGAGTCGTATGAAACGATATAACGCGCGAGTGAAGCGGGCACGGGCGCAGTACTGGC